TTTCCAACCATAGTGGTTCTGTGATTCAATGATTCTGTGATTCGGGTTGCACCTCCTCGTCTCACCATGCTTAGCAGGGCCAGTAGTTCATCATCCTCCTCCTTCCCTGACAGCTTTTATGACCTCCGCTTAATAAGATTGTGTATATTAATGTTCACATGCCTGTCTGGGCCGGGCTCCAAGTGCACGAGAAGGGGCTGGTGGATATTTCTGCTAGATACCTTCTGTTTACCCATGGCTGCCCAGGCCTCACCGGTGTTAATTACGGGAGTCTTAGTGCAAGATCTGATCTGTTTGGGTTTCAGTGTCTTATCTGATGGAAGCTAGAAAGAAGAGTCCTGCTGCCTGCCTCTCGCAGGGTACAGGCACTGCAGTGTGCTGGGTGGCAGCCACGTGGGGAGATTGGGGTGCCCCTGCAGCAGGCACATCCCTGCCTGTGAGAACTACTGCCTTCAGAGAGTTGCCTGGGGCTGGCAGAATGCTGGCAGGATGTGGGATCCCTTCTTGGGGGAGCAGGGTAGAGGCCCAGCACCTGCATCCCTACCAGGAGGTCTGCTGTTGTGTGTGGGGCTGCGGGAATCCCTGTGCCTGATGACTTCCCAAAGCTGGACCCCTGGGGATGGTGGAAGTGGAGATTGTGGTGGCTGGGTCATGCCCGGGGTGGCCTCGCTGTAGGCTGTGCCCTGTCCTGTGCTCGCATGGCCAGGGCTGCAGGGATCCACACACACCGCTCACAGCAGCCCCCCAGCAGCTGCAGGTGCCCAGCCTGGGTAGCAGCTCTCCTGCCCTGGATCGTTAGGAAATTTTGCAGTAATGGCAGGTGCAGCAGAAACAGATCTTTTAGCAGGTGGACTTGGCCTTGGTGCCTCTCTGCATCCGTGCCCTGGGAGGGGGCAGTGGGTGTTTGTAGGTGTTGGGGTGGTGCTCCTCCAGCAGTGTGCCCATTGCCTGCTGCTTCCCCACACCCTGGCCTGGGGACAGCCTTGGAGATGGTCCCGGGAGCAGCCTGGTGCAGAGAGAGAAGCATTGGGTGGTGGGGGAAAAGCATAAAAAGCAGGAGCTGGACCCGCCTTTCTGCCCAGCCCGCAGGGGTGCAGGTGTCTTCAGGGGTGGTAGAGCTGGGCTGGAAGATGACCATGATTCTTTACCCTTGGAGTGAAGAATCACTTACTTATTGCTTGGCGATGTGGACAAGCCCTCTCTGAACCTCTGTGGGGTCCTGGTTGGCTCTGGCCGTGACCCTCAGAGCAGTACCCCTTCCCTGGGTTAAGAGGGAACCCCTCAGCCTCGGCACCTCGTGGCCCTGCGGCAGATGTCGCGGCTGCGAGGGGGGCCCA